GCGGGTGCGCGGCCGGGCGGGAGCGTGTTGAAGGGAAGGAGCTGGGCAGCCGGGAGGGTTCCGCGGGAGCTGCGTGAAGAACTTGGAGGTGGAGGCAGGCGGGCCAAAGCCTCGGTGGCCGAGAGAAAGGCTGCTGGCACCCGGGGGGAAGTGGGGAGCTGCTGCTGTTTCAAAGGGGAAGGCGGGCTTTAAAATGGGTCCTTTTGTCTTTGGGAGCAGAACCGAGAGAGGCGGGCTCGTTACCGCAGGGTGGTTTCGTACCTTGCGGAGGAGGAAATTGGACGGGGTGGGAGTCTGAAGTGAGCAGAAGAGTCAGTTGAGCTGTTTAGTGAAGTGAAAGTGCTGGTGGGTTGAATGCCAGCGTGTTCACAGGCACAGGGGTCCGCACGACGTGTGTGCCCCACGACTTAGAGGGTAGTTGGAAGGATGTCTGTGTATCAAGGTCCTTTTTTTCTCCCCTGGTGTCTGTTTATTGTTTAATATGGCAGATAAACTTAATAAATACGCCTGTGGCAAAGATCCGTGGTAGATGCTGTAGAGGGGCTGGTATGGAAACAGATCGTCAGGATCGTCCTTAATTGTAAGGAATTTGCAGTTTAGTATACACGAGGCAAGTAAATAAGTAACAGCACAGAGTGAAAATGGTATCATAAAAGACGCCAAGGGTTATAAAAGTCCAAAGGCAGGAGATTACCTGAGCAGTTGGGAGGAATCAGGAAAAACGTCCTTTGCTCATTTACTCATTCATAGACTCTTATGATTCATCAGTCATTTTGTTGATCACCTATATAGGCGGCATTGTACCAGCTGCTGTGAATGGAAAAGTAAGGACTCCACCCTCCTCTTACAGAGTTTACGGTTTGTTAGGCTTTAAGGAGAAAATGGCATTTAAAATGGTCCTGAAGGATAAACAGTATTGGGTAGTTTATCCAGTATCATCATTTATCCAGTATTGTTTATCCATTATTAAAGGTGTGGATTAAGAAGAGTGGAACCCAAATGAAGGAGACTGAGCAGAGATATGTAGATAGGGAGGTGGGGGGGCGGGGCGGG